CAAAATTATACATTTTTCTTTTATGCCAAAAATCTTTAGGATATTAAGTAAAGATCATGTTCCATGAAGATATTTTGTAAATTTCCTACTGTAAATATATTAAAACTAAATTTTTTGATTAGTAATATATATTGCTAAGAACTTTATTTGGACAACTTTAAAGGCGATTTTCTTAGTATTTTGATTTTTTTGCACCCTCAGATTCCAGATTTTCAAATAGTTGTATCTCGGCCAAATATTGTCCTATCCTAACAAACCATACATCAACGGAAAGCTTATTTATTCAGCTTTCAGATGATGTATGAATCTCAATTTCGAGAAATTGACCCTTATGACTGGTTTTGTGGTCCAGGGTCACATATAAGCATCTTCTGTGTGTGAATGGCTAATAATATACTCACTGCAGACTGCTGGGACAGCTCGTGCCGGGTGCTTTGAATGGCTCTCTTATTCTCCAGCTGTTCCCTCCACATGGCCACACTATGAGAGAAAGATAGCACACACATACAAACATCAGCTGACCTTCAGCGCCCACGTCTCATGACTAAACCAGTGCACACATGTATCAGAGCCTCCCCCTCACTCCACCACAGCACTCCTGATGTAGCAGGTGCACAGAGTTTGGTTTCACTGGGTCAAACTTTGAGCAGACATCATTGTGGTCAGGTGAGACAGATGCTATTAACATCCGTCTCCTATGATCATTTGTGATCAGATTTCGAGGGGAGGGCCTTATGATTTTATGACTGTTATTTTAGTATATGCTATTATAGTACTTACTCATATTTTAATTTAGCTTTTTTTTAGTGCTGTCAAACGATTCATCGCGATTAATCGCATCCAAAATAAAAGTTTTTGTTTACATAATATATGTGTGTGTACTGTGTATATTTATTATGTATATATAAATACAAACACATGCATGTATATATTTAAGAAAAAAAATTGTTTATATATTAAATATATTTATATATAATATAAAATATAAAAATATAAATATATATACATGTAAATATTTTCAAAATATATACTGTGTGTGTGTATTTATATATACATAATAAATAAACACAGTACACATACATATATTATGTAAACAAAAACTTTTATCTTGGATGCGATTAATCGCGATTAATCGTTTGACAGAACTACTTTTTTATTATATAGCTTTTGTTACAATTCAGTTTTTATTTTACATTTAGCATTCACTGCTCTTGTTATTTTTATTAGTGTTTGCTTTTTCTTTTAAATATTTCTATATAGCTTTGATTTATTGCAGTTTTAGTTTTGGTACTATTTTAATTCAGCTAGTTTCCATTGACAGGTGGGCAGTTGCTCCTTTGTTATTGTGGTCATATACACATGCACAAATGTGGTTTCAGTGATCACGACACATTTTGGTGTTTAGTGCTGCCCACTAGTGTTTGGTAACCCGAGATGAGTTCAAATCTGAGCAGATGTCATGGTGTGTCTCACACTTTCTCCTCTAGTAGTCCTTGGTGCCCCTTGTAGCTTTTCCTCAGCTTTTCTAGCTCGTCTCTCAGGTTATTCTGCACTCCCTGCATTAAAAAACAAAATTACAAATTACACACAGTATTACAGAAATATCACAGATAAGCACATTACAACAACAAGAAATATTATACTTGATGATAAATATATAGCGAATCTCTGCTTGATTATTTATATTTTCGCAAAATGTGAACTATATTATTGCCCAGCTATATATTAAGTTGGAGAAATCAGTGGAACCAACTTTATCTGCATGAATACAGTACACTCACATAAAGTTATATCTCATCAGCTTGACTGTTTATATTGTTGCAAAATGTAAAAATATTATCGCCCAGCTCTATATATAAAGTTGGTACAGTATACTCGTCTCACATAAAGTAATATATACTATGTAGCATATCTCAACTGTCTAATTGTTCATATCGGCACAAAATATAACTGCATTATCGGCCAGCTCTAATCTGCTAAATGCGACTATAGTGTTAAGGTATTATAAACATTAACATCAGGATTTTCTGTAAATCTGTGCATTGTGAAAAACAAATTAACAATTAAGAAATTGACATGACTTGATAAACAAGGAAATCTACTGTATAATAATATACTGCTGATATTCTTACGTTTCTTTCCACTGGGCTCTTGCTCCGTTCAAACTCCTCGGGCTGTTAAAACAAACATCAAAAACAGAGCATGCATTCACTTCATCAGGTTCATTAAGGAATATTGCTGTTCCCCTTTCAATTTTTAGTGGGATTTATTAAGGCAATCATTACTATTATTACACCTCCCTTCATCATATTTACTTACAGAAATCCAATACTTGTTTCATACTAATTTTGGGGTGCTGATTCCAAAGCACGTGACACTTTCTCACAAAAAAAAAAACATTTATAAGGTGAAGAATTATTTTATTATCCCTTAATCAGCAGAAAAGATGCATCAAAGACATGAGTCTTCCGCTGAGCCAGATTACAGCGGTTTATTCAATTCTGAGCACATTTTCACATGTATGAATGATTCTGAAGACATAATTCTATGCCTAATCCTGATTTCCACCTTTTCTGCTCCTTTGCAGACTGTAAGTTAAATGACACATTTTAAAAACTTTCTTTTTGTCATTAAAACCTTTGACATTTGACTGCTTTTGTTATTTTGATAATTGCATTCGAGCCAAAACATAGAATTCGAAAAATCTTCCATCTCACTTTGTGAGAAACTGTACGTGATGGAAACTCAGCATCATCAAATTAAGTTATATTTGACCTTTTTTCAAGCTGCAAGGCTGTGTGATTGTTCATACTTTGGAGTGTGTGCAACATACTTTGCTTGAGGACGAGCATGTGTATGTGCGTCTCACCCTGACTCTGCTCTGGGACGTCCTGCTGAGCAGCGCTCGAACCCTCTCCACCTCCAGCGTGTGTCTGTGTGTGCGCTCTCTCTCCTGCAGGAGCGTGTCGTGTGTGTGCGCGAGGGCGAGCAGCTCAGCGCTGAGCTCCTCTGAGTGTGTGCGTTCTCTTTCGTAAGCGCTGCTCAACGACAGGAAGTTGCTCTTTAGCACTGCACACTCTTCGGCCAGGTCACGCTCACTTCGCTCAATGACTTCTAAGCTTAAGTTATATTTGACCTTTTTTCAAGCTGCAAGGCTGTGTGATTGTTCATACTTTGGAGTGTGTGCAACATACTTTGCTTGAGGACGAGCATGTGTATGTGCGTCTCACCCTGACTCTGCTCTGGGACGTCCTGCTGAGCAGCGCTCGAACCCTCTCCACCTCCAGCGTGTGTCTGTGTGTGCGCTCTCTCTCCTGCAGGAGCGTGTCGTGTGTGTGCGCGAGGGCGAGCAGCTCAGCGCTGAGCTCCTCTGAGTGTGTGCGTTCTCTTTCGTAAGTGCTGCTCAACGACAGGAAGTTGCTCTTTAGCACTGCGTACTCTTCGGCCAGGTCGCGCTCACTTCGCTCAATGACTTCTAAGCGTGCCGATGCTGCTGACACTTCCTCTCTGAGCCGGTCACACTCTGTCTGAAGAGACGAGGCGGTGCCCTCCTGAGATAAAACCTGGAGATCAAAGCATTAAATAAATGTGTTAAGCATTATTTTGATCATCAGTGTGTTTTTAGCACTTACTTACCATGTTTTTCAGTTCAAAGATCTCCGCTTCATACTGCTCTCTCATTTTATTGGCCTCTATCTGCACATCAACTAGGTATTTTGAGATCTGAAACACGTACACATGAAATATGAACTGATACATCAGACATCAGAGAGATCCCAGATTTCCAGGTCGTTTTCTGATCCTACCTTCAGTTTGTCTTCCTCACACTGGACCAGTTTGACTGACAGGTTGCTTTTTGACGCAGGCTGCTGGCCCAGTTTGTTCTGGACGGATTCAAGCTTACTAAACAGCACTTCATTTCGTTCCTGCAGCTGTACCTGTATATAAATCAAATAAGCACAAGATTCAGTGTGTTTTGGTTAAGGGATCCCCAGTGTACATATCTAAGTATAATCTAGATTTTCGTTATAGTAACACTCAATAAAAACAGTAACACTATTACAAATTTATGAAAATTTATAAAACTAAATGATTTTATACACTACTGTTCAAAAGTTTGGGGTTGGTAAAAGTCTCTTCTGCTCACCAAGGCTACATTTATTGGATCAAAAATACAGTAAAACAGTAAAAAAAAAACTGTAAAATATTATTACAATTTAAAAGAACTGTTTTCTATTTAAATATATTGTAAAATGTAATTTATTCCTGTGATCAAAGCTGAATTTTCAGCATCATTACTCCAGTCTTCAGTGTCACATGATCTTCAGAAATCAGTATAATATGCTGATTTAAAACATTTCTTGTTATTATCAATGTTGAAAACAGTTGTGCTGCTTCAAATTTTTGTGGAAACCGTGATACATTTGTTTTCAGGATTCTTTGATGAATAAAAAGTTAAAAAGAACAGCATTTATTTGAAATAAAAATCTTTTGTAACATTATAAATGTCTTTACTGTCACTTCTGATCAATTTAATGTGTCCATGCTGAATAAAAATAAACATTTCTTTAAAAAATAAAATAAAAATAAAAAAATCTTACTGACAACAAAACTTTTGAACGGTAGTATAAGTATTTCTCAGTTACCCTGATTAAAAATCCTGGGTTTTTACAATCCAGTTATTTATAATGCATAAAAGAACAGGTCCAATTATTAATATATGCTACATAAACTATATAAACTGACATTATAATTATTTGTCTTGACTAATGGCCTATATCTAGCTATAAATATCTAAAACTGATTATAAAGTTAATTAGTTCCTTTCAAATGACAAGAAAAAATCTTACATGTTCTTCAGTCAGAGAGGGAATTTGCTTCTGAAGTTCGTTAATTGAGCTGTGTTTATTCGTCGAGTCCATGTTCTGCAGCTGTCAGAGGGGTGTTATGTCTGGTTTCTATGAACACGAGTCTCCATGGGCGTTCATAAACAGCAAACTGTGAAAGAGAGCTCCATTTGACGTGTGAATCACATTAAACGATTCTTTCTGATGATTCGGTTGAATCATCAGTGATGCGAAGTTATTCAAATCCTGTTAATTAAAAATGTTTATATCAATCAACATTCCATGCTATATCATGAACACGTTAAATATTAGAAATACTGAAAACACTGGATAAAATAAAAAAAATATGCAGAGATATGATTTGTGCTGCATCTGCTCAACAAATGTTTTCTAAACAAATGAATCGTTAACAACATCAAGTCTCAGCACATATAAGACATATAGAGCCTGAGAAGCAGTCCATGGCCAAATCAGAAACAGTGCTTACATTGTTTCCACAACAAAACAGATCTGATAGGCAGTTTTGCTGAATTGTTCTGTTTGGTAAATATCAACAGAAAGTTCAACACAATACAAACGGGTTGTAAATCCAGATTATAACTGAATCGTGATCCATTTGCCTGATACAGGATGAACTGTGACAACTACTTCGAACATCTTGATTCGGTTCATTTACCTTGTCAATGAATTGTGCCATTACTTTTTACGTATTGACTCTTTGAATCGGTTAACTGAACAGATTCATTAAAAAGAGTCAAAAAGGGCCCATCAGCGAAGATCAGGAACGAATAAAACACATTATGAAGATTTAAAACACGTTATATCTTCCACAAAATACACTTGCACATTCGACTTTGAGAGATGCAATTCACTCAATATGATTAAGTAAACATATAGAAAAATTTATTAAAATGTATACAAGATATATGATACAAAGAGAGCAGAACAAGTCTGGTCATTAAATAATTTGTAAATTGTACAAAATGACTTAAATATAGTGGTCCAATGGCATTGTTGTTCAAAAGGCCACACACATTCTGGGCATTCGCACACAAACTACTCTACTTAAGGCAACCTGCAAAGTGGCTTTAACAAAATCACACAACTATCAAAGACGTCCCATTTACTAGACTGGCAGTCCCATAGAAATATGGCACATTTTTAAATTAAATGGGGCGAGCAAACCAATACTCAGGCAGGCAGACTTCTGTAGGCTAGTCGTGTGCGTTTTTGTATGCATTGAAAAATGTATGCGATTTTCTCCTGTTATCTTGAGGACCACCTCCTCAGCAAATCGTTCTCTCAATGATTGATGTTCTCATCTTCCTCCACCTCTTCATCATCCTCGGCAGCATGGGTGTCCGTGTCTCTGTAGACCAGACGGACTCCAGCAGCATTCTGTAGAGCCTCCAGACTGGTTTGACTCACGTACAAGCTCAAGTTTATGTTGGGACGCGTTGATCTCAAGTCCTCTATTTTACTCCAAGCCTAATACACATACAAAAACAATATTCAATCAAAATATGACTGGAAACAGGTGTTAAAGGAATAGTTTGCCCAAAAATGACAATACATTGACCTTCATGTCATTCCAAAAAAGATAGTTTATAGTGACCACTTTTGTGACCAACTTTTCGAATCTTATTTGAATACTTTTGGGTCCATACAATGAGGAACAGACTGAAATGTAGGTTTTTAGACCTGCATAAAGAGTCTTCAAACTCCTTTTGTTTTCCATAGAAAAAAAAACAGCATTGAGAGGGATTTGAATGACATGAGGGCAAGTAAATAATGGTGAAAGCCATTCCTCCAGAATATAGCATGGCTATGGTTTCTATTAAACACTAAAGGAGCTTTCACACTGGCAGTTTTGTTGGTAACAGAACGGTTCACATGAGACAGCACAGCGGTACCGAACCCGAGACTACCTGTAGGAACTGGTCTAAAGTTTGGTTGTAATCGCTGGAAAGTCTGTATTAAAGTAGTTTACATGTCAGTAGCCAAAAATGCTCTTGATTGCTGTTCGCTCACTCACACATGTCACTTGGATTAAAACTAAACAGTATATGTAAGTAAATACATTAACTGTTACATGATTTATGTATTATGAGTGGTTCCCATTATTACAGGATTATAGTACAGCAATAAAATGAACAGTGAAAATAACAGCTTGTACAATGCATTTGAGTAATGACTAAAGGAAACATCTAAACCAACTAATATGATTCATATTCCTTTGGTTTCGCTACCCAATATTAAACAAAAAATACAAATGCAATGAATATACAAAGCATTAGTAACCTCTATCTGTATTTACCAAAAGTATTGGTATTGGACACGTTTTGGAAAAAGTGGCGTCGGTGTATCCCTACTTTTAAGCTTTGTGTAGAGCGAGTGCAATCAGAGTCTGTTTTCTCCTAAAAAGAGACTGTTTGCAAGCTTTCAAGAGACGCACAACATAATTTCCCTACGTTGTGTTGTCTATCATGCTTGCTTTGCGTGTTTGTGACTGAAGATGAATGCAAATGCACTGGCTTCGACTGAATAAAGTAAGTCAGAAACCAACGTTGCGGGAGCTCCGGGAACAATTGCACTTGGATTCAGACTGGAGCAAACGTGTCCAGTGTGAAAGCCTTCTAAAACACAACATACTACAAACCTCAACATACCTGCTGGAAGTTGCCATGATGGCAGTAGTGCTCCACCAGGAACCCATACACATCTCCAACACGCACTGCAGGGTCCAGATCTTTCTCTTCCAGCAAAGACTCACACACACACACCGCTTCCACTGGATCCTCCTCATGCATCCTAGACACACACACAAATACATTTATCAATGCATGCAGAGGTGTTGACAGAATGCACAAATCAAATGCTCATCAGTACCTTCGTGCCTGAATGAATCTCTTGACAAGGCCGAGTCTGTGTGTCAGTATGAGGAGTTTGCGGTCAGCCTCGTCTCCACTGCGACCCTTTGCTTTAGTCAGACACTTGCACGCCTCCGTAAGAGCGCCATATGCCTTCTCGTAATTCTGAAAATCATCAATTTCCACCTGTGCACACACAAAAATAAAGTTTCCAAAAAGGAGTTTTCACAGCAATGCCATAGAAGAACCATTTTTGGTTCCTCAAAGAACCTTTCAGTAAAGAGTTCTCAAAAGAACCATTTTTTTCTTAGTGTGAACATTTTAATAGGCTAAAGAACCTTTTGTTTCACTATAAAGAATGGGAGGGTTCTATGGATGTTAAATGTTCTTCATGGAACCACTAATGCCAATAAATGTATTTTTAAGACTGTAAGACTGTAAGTTGATTACTGCATGGTGATTTTCACAGAACACACGCTCTCAGTACCTCAGCACAGGCTTCATAGAAGCCGGCGAGCAGATCAAGTGCTCGTCCTTTTGTGTAGAAGCCGATGATGTTCTTCATGATCTCCGGGTCGTTCCTCCAGTCCAGTGACTGCAGGTAGTTGGCTGCCATTACGTAAATTTCCTTCTGTCTGGAAACACCTGCGAAAAACACTATTTTCTCTGTATCCCCGGATTTCAACAGCGCTCGCATCGCCTGTCAAAGATCAGAACAGAAAAGAAAAGCTTGATATCTTTGCTTTTAGAAGAGGCTGGTGAGAGTGAAGATATAAATGGGCAATAAATAAATATAAAACAGAAAAAATAGCTGGTGAAAACATGCATTTTCTTCAGAGCCCCAAACAGAAAAAAATTTGCAATTTGGTGAGGCTGCTGCTGTATTTATATGGCCAAAAAGTACGTCCATAAAATGTGCTGCACACATCTGAATATTTGGGTTGAAGTGTTCTGGAACAGTGTTGTAAATACAACTTAACCACTGATTTCTAGTCGTGTCCATTTTTGGAAGGCCAAACAAAGTAGTTTCGCTTTCACAACGAAACATCGTCACACACCGTGGCCTTGAGTGAGCGGAGGCCGGCTTGAATGAGCAGAGGTGGTGGGCTTGAGAACGGCGCGGCCGGCGGATTCGACGAAGGAGCGTCCGGCGGGCTTGCGGCAACCACATGTGACGACCCCGGGCTGGACTCCGCTTCGTCCACGGTGAAAGACGATCCGGCGATCCACAGCGCGAAGTTGATGTATTTTCTCAGCGACCAGCACAGATCAGCTCCAGGCATGACGAAGCGATATCGTCCTCTTTTGGAAGACCAAACAAAGTAGTTTCGCTTTCACAACGAAACACACAGTGCCTTCACGACATGGCGGCGGCAACAACAATACTACAGCGAGAATAAAAGTTACACCTTCTTTCTTTGCGTGAACATTTGGGCGCCGTTATGCAAATCTTCCCACATCGTGACGTAGGCATGTGGGGGCGTGTTAGAACGAGCCGTTTTAGGTAGGCGTGGTTGACTCTTAACTTTTATAAAGAATATCTCTTTGAATTTGAGACTTTAGTCTTTGCAACTTTACAGATCTTCTTTATGCACCAAGAGCTTGTAACACTCCAAAGTGAAAGGAAAAATTGAAATCGCATCATATGACCCCGTTAAATTATGTTAGCTTGTAATGTAAATCAATGAGAACTTTATAAGAGTATAGCAGACTACTAAAATACATATTAATATCAGTTGTCACTATATAGCTTCCAATAATGTCATAGTAAGATTATACTGTATTCAAATGCTTAGTTTATGATTAAAACTCTGTAGTTTTATAAATCAATGCAATACAATGACGATTGAGAGATGAACAAATAAACGTGAAATAAATGTGTACAAGTTTTGATCATGTTTATAATTTAAAGGCCTCAGAAATTCATATATCAAGCTTTATAGGGCTATTTGAGTTTCAATTATTTTAAGAAGTGAGAAGAAAGTATGATATGAGAAACATGGAACTAGCTCAGTGTAGAAAATTGATGGGATAACCATCAATTCTATTGTTTAGCATCATTATATATAAATATGTGACTGCAAATGCTGTGATTGACCAATCAGAATCAAGTATTCATGAGAGCCATGCCATAAGATTACATGAAATCTTTCTGCAAGAGCAAAATGAAAGCTGTTTGATCTTCTCCAGTCACTGATCAGTAAATCAGCTGTTGATTTGTGCACAGGGCAAACCTTGATCTTGTTTCCAGCTTGTGTGTATTTCTTAGTGGCTAAGTGGTAGTTGCCCTGCCGCATGCAGCAGTCTGCGATTTTCTCCAGCAGCTCCTTTCTCCCGGCCTCAGACAGATGGGACGAGTCTTTTGGCACCGTCAGACTTTCGGCCAGATCTTCTGTGATGGTCAAACTCTGGTCCAAACACAACTGGAGCGCCTCATGGTACTACACACACAAATCCATATGCATACAGTTACAAAACACTGTTGTGATTCTTATATAATTCTACTATTAGGGGGCGATAACTGTGAAGTTTTAATAATCATTCTAATTCTATGAAAATAGGGAAGTCCACAACTATAACAATAATGACAGAGGAACAATATTGCTGGAACAATTTTCCAGCTGATGAATGATAAAAACATAGATTAAAAAAATCGATAATCCATTAAAGAGATTGAGCATCTAAAGCAGTAGACAACAAAACTGCAGTTTGTACTTCAAATGAACAGAACGTTATTGTGAGTTATAGTTATTGTTCTTGGTGTAAATGGCTTTTTGTTCGGTTATGGATATTAAATGATTGGCTGTATGACAGTGCATGTGTTCACCTTTTTGGCAGCCACCAGCAGTTCCACAGCTTTCTGGTACTGAGTGTGTTTTATGAAGAAATCAGAGCAGCGTGCTAGTAGGGCAGGGTCACTGTTTTCATTCAGGTCCTCTGCGATCAGCTGCAGAGCTCCAAACTGCTCTGTGGCAAAAGCTAGTTCCAAAGCCTTAGACACGTGACCTGCCTGGAAAGGTGGAATGGAGACATCATACATAAGCGATCAGCACCACCTAGTGGTAAAGTTCGAAGGTGCATAAGGTTTGGGTGTACCTTATGATAAAGCATAACGGCTCGGTCCATGTGCGTTCCTTTCTCTTCATAATACATGGCCGTGTCCATCATGTCCTCTGGATTGCTAAGCAGCGCCAGATTCATGAGCTGCTCATCCAGGTTATTCTCTTTACACAGTCGGATGGCGTTGTTATAGGCTTGCGCTCGTGTGTAGAAGTGCACCGATTGGCTGATTTCATCCTGTCCCTCGTACTGCCGTGCAACGTGATAAGACGCTGCTCTGTTGCCCGTCTCATTGGCTATCTCACTCGCCTGCCAAATATACAGATCATTGTGAGGCATTCGGTTCATTTTATTTCAGACACAAAGGAAACTTCAGGCAACATACCTTTTGAATGTTTCCTAGATAACAGTACACGCGCACTTGAGACAGGTAGTCCTGAGCGAGGTCGTAGTAATGCAGCGCAGCCTCCATGTCTGATTGGCTCTCTAGATAATGACCCCACCACTTATACAGATCCCTGTCCAATCACACACCAGACATCAGAGAATATCAAAGCCATGTCAGACTGCAGGGACCGGAAACATGAATCAATGAAAACTCGAACTCACTTGTCCTTCATTTTATTGATGTAGATCTCCAGTGAAAGATTATCCTCCATCAGCATTCTCGGCACTTCAAACCGATGTGTGTCTGACTTCTCAAAACTACAGAACGGGACAGGAAAGAGGTAATATATGCATACACAGACACACATGCATATATATATAAAAACTAAAAAAAAAAAAAAAACTACGCATTTTACTTTTAAGACATATACCATTTAAAAGTTTTAGTTAGTTTTTTTTCTTCTTCTTTTTCTTTTACCGATTACAATTATGATGTTTCTTCTGCTCACCAAGGATGCGTTTATTCAATTAAAAATACAGTGAAAAATATTGTGAACTATTATTACAATTTAAAAGTTTGGTTTTAAATATATTTTAAAATGTAATTTATTCCTGTGATGCAAAGCAGCATCATTACTCCAGTCTTCAGTGTCACATGATCCTTCAGAAATCATTCTAATTTTATATAAAACCATTCAAAAATCTTAATTATTCCAAGCATTTGATTGGTAGTGAAAATTTAGGGAGCAGATTTTTTTTCTTAAATAAACTGATACATTTATTCAGTAAGGATGTATTAAATTAATCAAATATGACAATAAAGACATTTATGTTGCAAAAAAAAAAAAATTTTTAAATCAAAGCTGTTCTTTTGAACTTTCTGTTCATCAACAAATCCTGAAAACATATATATCAGGGTTTTCAAAAAAATAAGAAGCAGCACAACTGTTTTCAACATTGATAATAATCAGAATTGTTTCTTGAGCAGCAAATCAGCATATTAGAATGATTTCTGAAGATCATGTGACACTGAAGACTGGAGTAATGATGCTGAAAATTCAGCTTTGATCACAGGAATAATTGACTCATGCTTGGATACAGCACTCTGTGAACAGTCAGCTTCTTTGGCAATGAATGTTTGTGGCTTACCTTCCTTGTGAAGGGTGTCAATGATTGTCTTTTGGACAACTGTCAGATCAGCAGTCTTCCTCATGATTGTGTAGCCTAGTGAACCAACCTGAGAGACCATTTTGAAGGCTCAGGAAACCTTTGCAGGTGTTTTGAGTTGATTAGCTGATTGGCATGTCACCATATTCTAATTTGTTGAGATAGTGAATTGGTGGGTTTTTGTTAAATGTGAGCCAAAATCATCACAATTAAAAGAGCCAAAGACTTAAACTACTTCAGTCTGTGTGCACTGAATTTATTTAATAATAAAACTTTAATAAGAAAACTTTTCCACGACATTCTAATTTATTGAGATGCACCTGTATATGAAAATAGAAAATATTTATTTTACACTGTAAAAAAAATTCACAATATTACTATCTTTTTCTGTATTTTTGACCAAATAAATGCAGCCTTGGTGAGCAAAAGAGACTTCTTTCAAAAACATAAAAAATGTGACAACCCCAAACTTGAGCAATAGTGTCAATACTACAATAAATGAAGAAAAAAATGTAGTAAAATAGAATTATATATTAAATGAAAATGCTGTGCTGTGCTTTGATATTTGCTGGATGTGTATGACGGCAGAGATTGTGTGTGAACATGACACTCACTACACCAGCGCTAGGTTCTTGTCTCCCAAGGCCTCCAGGTGTTTGGCGTAGCTGTAGTAAGTGGTTCGGAGGTGAATGCGGTCGTGTGTTTCTGCTGTCTCCACCGCCTGCTGCCACTGACCTGCCGCCTGATAAAACTTATTCAATAAATCAAACCTCCCACACGACTTATACAAACGCTCTGCATCCTCCTGCGAAAAAAGAGAGAGAGATGCTGCGATAAGCCCAAACGTTTAAATCCAAATGTTTAGTTCTTGTTATTGTACTGAATGAGACAGAGAGGCTCCAAGTACACTAGGTTTGTTTAGACAATGCTGTGTTTGTGCTTGTGTGCTTTAAACACGACATGAAACGTCATTCGCAATGTATTCAGCTTCCATAATGTGACACACCTCAGAGTGAGACATATGTGTGTGTGTGTGTGTGTGTACATATATATATATATATATTATATAAGAGGTGAATTTTCATCTTTAGGAAAGTGTTTATGTGCCATACCAGCATGCCCAGCTGTGTAGCCAGTACAGCCACCTGCGCCTCCACCTCCGGCTCTTTTTCAGCGTTCCTGAGAGCACGTGCGGCCCGTGCGTTACCCATGTTCCCCAGACACACACGCGCCACGTCCAGACGACGACTCTTCACACACATCCGCGCCATGTTCTCCCACACTGCCTCGCTGGAGATGCAGATACACACATACACACAACATACAAAAGATTCAGTTCACTTCAAAAGCCAAAGATGTCTCAAAGAAGGCAAGACAGAAAAACTTGAATGAAGAACGTTTTTAAAACTCATCCTAACAGTCTTAAAAAAGGTTCTTCTTCTCAATAGCCATTTCTGGCGCTATATGGTTCTTTGGTCTTTGATGTTTCAGGTTCTTTAAATCAACAGACCGGTTTTTGGGCTCTTTAAAGCAGAAGTATATAGAAGCTTTTCTAAAGCACTAGAGAGTGCTACTACACTTTTTGACTTACAAACTTCCATGACTTTTCTAATCTTTTGTGATTCCTAAATAAGATTCAGATGCATCTGCTAATGATTCACTCAGACCAATTTGTAAACTCAGCAAGATCCATTATCTCATGATTCAGACATTGTTATGGCTTACAAGCAATATTTACTCTACATAAACTAATAATAAAATATTTTAAAGGTGAGCATAACAATAAAGATGTATATTCACCATAGAAATGAGAACGACTTTCTAAGAATTCTTGGTAAAATTTTACAAATTAGTTCCATTTGTTAAAAAATATTAATTTTGACATTTACTAACAGATTATTCAAATTAAAAGATGTATCTGTTAATATTATTTAATGGACTTGAGCTAACATGAACTAACAATTAACAGTTGTATTTTTATTAACTAAAGTTAACAAAGAGTATTAAATATTGTAACAAATGCACTTGTCATGAACATTAAAGCATGTCAACATATTCTGTTACACCAAATACACAAAATAATTATCTTTAAAATAGCATCATATGACCCCTTTAATGTTACTTAATGCATTAACTAATGTTAACTACTGGACCTTATTATAAAGTGTTACTAAATTCTTTATTGGGAAGATCCTGTAGAAAAAAAAAAAGTTTTTGCACAACTTAAAAAGGTTTACAATGACATCATGATGTTTTCGATTTCTTTTTTGTTCAAAAATGAAAGTTCTATGTTTAAGTGTGTAGATTACGAATGCTTTTATTGGCAAATAATGACATTTTCCTTCTCTTTTTTTCGGCACTGTTTTAAAGTGTGGATCCATGTACTGAAACATAACATGAAGCAACAAATCTGTCTTTAAAGGCTGAGAGGATGTTTTAAAGATGATACTGTGGAAACTCTTCACACTTCAGCACTTAGCAGCTGCTCTTTTGAGTGTTTCTGCTGTTTCTCTCTCCGTTCCACCTCATGAGCGAACCATCCCAGCTATGCATGGAATGACCCTATCAACACCCAACACTCTCTCGCCCACATTCCCTCTCTCCCACTAATTTGGCCCTTCGTGCCCTCCCTCCGTTTTTTATCCACTCCCATCTGGTCTTTATTTATCCAAAATCCCCCCATTCTCTCATTTTTTCGCTCGGTTCGGCTTTCAGTAGATACAGATGTGGGCTGTTTATTAGGAGTTAAGCAACAGGAAATTCCCTCAATCTTTGGGGGCCCAGAACTGGAAAAGAAACCACAGAAAAGTAGACAGAGAAGCTAATCCAAACAGAATGAATTATGAATTTCCCGTTTTTTGGATAAAACATGGAAATAAAGTACATTTTTACATTGTTCTGGGTGGTTGCAAGTCAAAAAAGCCTAAAGTCTCTATGATCTTCTAGTCTCTAGGCTCCTTCAGGATTTTGTCACTTGTTTTATGGTCCAGTAAGTGACACAAAGCAGACCACTCCTCAACAAGATACATGATTTGAGGAATCATTTATGTCTGGAACACAAACGCTGCAGGATGATGCATAACAATCTTAAAAATAAAGGTTCCTAAAGGTGGTTTTCGCAGTGATGCTGTAGAAAAACCATTTTGAGTTCGTCAAAGAACCTTTCAGAGAACAATTCTTTAAAGAACCATTTTTTCTTAGTCTGAAGAACACTTTAAACAACTAAAGAACCTTTTATGCAATGGAAAGGTTCCATGGATGTTACAGGTTCTTCATGGAACCGTAGATTCCAAAAAAAGAACATTCTTAAAAATAAAGGTTATTTACTGGCATCAATGGTTCCATGAGGAACCTTTAATCTCCATAGAACAATTCCTTCCATAAAAGATTCTTTATAGTGGAAATACATTCTTCAGATTATTAAAATAAGCAAAAATTGTTCTTTTAAAGAAATGTTCACTGGAAGGTTCTTTGGGGAACCAAAAATAGTTCTTCTATGGCATCGGTGTGAAAATGGCCTTCTGGAATTTTTAGGAGTGAACCTTTAATTTTAAGATTGTGTAGAATGGAAAGATTCCATGGATGTTAAAGGTTCTTCATGGAATCATTAATGCTAATAAAGCACCTTTATTTATAAGATAGAAACTGAACTTTAATATTTAAGTGTTACTAGACCAAAAATATATCTGATATTTCATCTCCTGCTCCATTAATAACCAGCTCACTAAGTCAAAGAGAGAAAGAGGACGGGTGTTGCATTCTGTTCTGCCTGCTTTCCTTCCAGGAAACACATCCTGTAGCTGGAGTAACGTGTTTGTCACCGACCAAGAGAGAAAGAGAGAGAACTTATTCCCAAGCACTCCTGCCCTCTCATCCCAGTCCTTCTGAGCTTTTCAGGGATAAAGCACACACATGCTCACATGCTCACATGGGAAACTGTTCAGGACGAGTAATCTGAGATAAACGAGCGAGGAAAGAGTGTGGGAAAGAACGAGAAACACAAGAGACCGCATCACGCAGACATTCCACAGCAGGGAGACGACCCAGCGCACATCTGGAGGAGAAAGGGGGAGGAAGGGACGGGCAGAGCTGCAGAAGAACGGAGCGATTTAAAGAAAGCGTGCATGTTTATGTGATGGCCTTGGAGGTCCCGCGTCCAGCCTTACGAGAAGCAGCGACCCCCGACTCTGAGGAAGAGGTTTAGAGACTCCCGCCGCCCCAACGACCCCCAAGACACAAGAATGAGTGGCGATGTCCTCTAGCTAACCTCTCACAGCGTTCATGCCGCTCTGCATTTCTGCGTAGCGTGCACGTGTACCCGTGGATGTTTCAGGAATTCAGGCGCTCCGGAGGGTGTATGGCCGTGCGCAGGCTGGTGGTGGTGGCGGCGGCGGTGGCCCTGCTTTCTCTGGTGCTCAACAACTTGGCGACATTCAACTCCAGCTGGGTGCTGCAGGTGCTGGAGGACGGACGGCGGCGGAGTGTCGGACTCTGGAGAGCGTGTGCACACGAGGACACGCACACTCACGAGCCCACAGCCTGCCAGAGACTCAGCTGGGGATCGGAGCTCGCGGGGTATCAGGAGTCACGCAGCACTGTCAAACGTGAGTCTCCGTCATACAACTGCGTGTGAGGGAATAGACAATAATTAAATTATATGTTTTCTACACGTTTTAATGCTCTGATACCCTTTATATTACTGAATTTAACAGAAAAAGATAACATTTTAATATTATTATATTAATATATTGTCATTTTAAACGGATCATTAGGTAATTAATTCAAAAATAAATGTTGCTAAACATCAATTCATATATTTTATTTATATATATTTATAATTTCAATGCTAAGCGTGATTTTGTAAGCATAATATCTAAGGCCGTCTTATTGAAAGTCATTTTATGAAGTTAAAAAACTCTGAAAATGTGACTAACAAGTAGATAAAGTTTAGTAGATAATTTGTGAGTACACTGGAATACTTGAAATGTCATTAAACTCTGATTAATATATTTTTATAATTATGTATTGTAAATATATATTTCATATTTCAGTGTACATCAACAAAGGATTTGCTAATATAATGTTTCATATAAGGTTACTTTCAATAAAACAACATACAGAAAATGTTTTTAAAGCGTTAACCCCCCCATAATAAATTTAGAATTAAATAAATAAATAAAAAATAATACATAAATAAATAAATTGTTTATAACTAAATAAATTTACTAATAAAAATAAAATTAAATACATTTAATATGTATTTAATTATTTTTTTTATTATTTATTATAATCTAATTATAATTATAATTAAAAAAAAAATTTCACTGCAGGAGCCTGTGATTACTCAGAAAAAAAGAAAAGAAAAAAAAAAAAGTGTCCAAATTTTTAACAACTTTTAATGAACCGCTTCCATATGAATTGGTCTTAAAATCTTATATAATTTTTTTTTCTTTAAATCTGAGTTCTAGACATCTAGAGCTCATTTTATTTAATTTGGCATCAACTTAATGTCTGGCTAGTATTAAACCACGGCAACTATCACTAGAAGAAAAAGCGAGCAGAGATTTGCTGGCTTGTATCATGCAGCCTGGCACGTCTGTCCATCTATCCTGATTTAGAAATAGGAAACGGATGGACACAGTGAAGGATTGTCTTTCAGGAAGTGACACCCACATTGGCACAGTTGTGTCTTATGGACATCTGCAGCTGGATCTTCCTTACAATGATTCAGATCCTCTACCTAAAAACACTCACACACACACACACACTCACACTCCTCTGCTCATACATGTATATATGAACCAAATGAATCATTGAATCATTTACGAACCATTTGAGAGCTAATATTTCTGTTGTTCTGATTGCAGTTCAGTTTGACATGATGCGGGCATGTAACCTGATGGCTACGGTGGCTCTGACCGTGGGTCAGCTAATCTTCCTGTTTGGGTTACTGGAGATAAGCCACATTACCCAGGATTCTCAGTGGTGGGAGGAAGCCATCGCTGCCCTGTTCCAGTTAGCCAGTGAGTGTTCAAACCCGCTTCTACAGTCGCTAACAAACACTAACAGTCCCTTTGAGGAGCTTCAATAAGCCAGACACAAATACCACACACCTTTCTTCAAACAACACATTAATTCTTCAATATCAAGCCGTCTGTCCTCAGAGATACGGCCTCTATTGTCCCATGTCTGTTGTTCTGCATTTTGGGAAAGGAAAGATGGAGCTTTGAGGATCTATAACAGAACAAACATCAACAAAGCACAGCGGCCTGAAGCTACACACCATTCAACAGGAAACAACAGAGTCCTGGCCAGAGGCCCGCTCACAAATTAAATCCGCTCCCATTGGGACGTACGCAGGCCTGTCTCTTCAAAACTCGCTGTTGATGTCCCATGAAAGTGTGCTGGCTGTGATGTTATCTTGTTTTATTGTGCGTGCTTTCTGCATACTTATACTATCTGCATAGCTGTTTAAATGCTAACTTGCATACTTACATAAACACATGCTCGTTGATGGACTATTAGCGAATGAACAGTTGATGCGAGTGTATGAGTGTTGTAGGTAAAAATCTGCAAATTGATGGTGGTAGTTATTATAGAAACACCCAGAACATCCTAGCAACATTCCAGAACACCCAGGTAAAGTCCTAGCCACCACTCAGAACACCCTAGCAACGACCTAAAACACCTTACCAACCACCTAGCAACTGCCTAGAACATTCTAACAACCACCAAGAACACCCTAACAACATCCTGGCAACTACCTACAACACCCTAGCAACCACCTAACAATGCCCTTACATCCACTTAGAATACTACAGCAAACACCCAGAACACCCTAGCAACGACCTAACACCTTACCAACCACCAAGCAACTGCCCAGAACATTCTAACAACCATCAAGAACACTCTAGCAACATCCTAGAAACCACCCTGAACACCCTAGCAACCACCTAGTGACCTCCACCTTAAAGCAGTCGCACACCAGACGAGAAGCGCAGCGCAGCATCGCGTCGCATCGCACCACGCCACTTCTTTAAAATTCAAACACATTATTTTCTATGAGTGTACACACACCAGCGGCGCCGTTCGGCGTCCAGCTACGTCGTGTTGTACTTGTACGAATTGTTTTAGACGCGGCGCTTCTCGTCCGGTGTGCGACCACCTTTAGAAAACCCTCACAAAACCCTAGCAACCACTTTAAATAGCAACTGCCCAGAACACCATAACTAAAACACCCTAACAGCCACCTAGCATCTACTCAGAACCCCCAGCAACCACCTGTGAAAACCCTAACAAAGCCCTAGCAACCACTTTCAATTGCATAGCAATTGGCCACAACACCATAACAATTACCTAAAACACCTTAGCAACCACCTAGAACACTCTAGCAATGCCATAGCAACCACCCAGATCACCCCCAGCAACCACCTAGCAATGCCCTAGCAACCATTCAGAATACAATAGCAATCACCCAGAATACCCTAACAACCACCTACAACATAGGGCTGCACAATTTGGGGAATAATCTTTTTGCAATTAATTGTGACTGTGATTTAAAATGCAGTTTTTAAAAACTTTTAAGTTTGCTGTGCTTGTTTGTAGGGCTGCACAATTTGGCCAAATATTTTGTGATTATATATCACAAATTATTATTATTAATAATACTATATAAAATATTACAACATTAAAAATATTACTTTTGTAATATTTCACTGTAAATTAAAATCCAGTATTTAAGAAAAATAGAATAATTTTATTTTACAGCACTATTTATGTCTTAATTTATTCATTTTCAAATGTCAAACCTTCAAGCTTTTGATAATCAGAATAAACAATATTGCGATTTCAGCTTTATTTCAATTAATTGTGCTGTCCTAGCAACCACTTAGCAACCACCCAGAACACTCCAGTGTCATAGTGTCCACTCAAATTTTATTCATTCACTTTGATCACAGCAGTTGTTTTCTTAACCTCAGGTCATTTTTTTAATAGACACCCTGATCATTTCCTGTGTACAATTATGAGCTCTAGATAGTCTTGTTTGTTTCAGAAAAAGTTATTTTCAGTTTCATCAAAGCCGTCCATGGCTGTGCTTGCACTACTATGGTGGTCTGTTACAAGTGAAGTATATCAGTCCAGCTAATAGTGCAAGATGTGTGCGTCGTTTTAAGTGTGACAATAGTTATATTTAGCTAACGGGGGTCCAGAGCACCAGCGGCAGCCACGCAGCTTCAGAGAGCAACAGTCAGGCGCCAGGATATCCCTTCTCAGGACGAGGAAGTGTCTGTAACTACCTGTTATGCAAACCCAGAGCCGCAGAGGAAAGACGGGGAGGGGGAGTGTGACAGTACGGAGGGGGCCAACGAGTGTCAGAGTTATTAGACATGGACTTCAACGGGAATTGATGATATTTTAAGAACCGCAGAGCAATCGGGAAGAAAGAGAAGTGGATGTATGTGACACCACAGAGGAGCATGTTTCATCGGGACGGGTCTAGAATCTCCCACAATGTGTGTGTGTGTGTGTGTCATGGGTGGAGGAAACAAGTGTCCTGATTAACTGTCCCCGCAATACTGCATCTGTTTACACAATCTCTAGGGACAGACTATATCTGACAAAATGAAAACAATGATGTCCTCCTCATACTGCAATATAAATTATAAACAGGCACAAACTGCTTCCATGAAGTAAACGGTGAAAACCAATCAGGTGCAGGCAAATCATCAACTCCTTATAAACATCCATATGTACATCAGGCTTTCCTACTATATTCTCATGGTTTAAGTGCACTGACTAGACATTCACACAACGGCGCCATTGAACAGGGACTTCCCCCCAGACACCTTAATCACCCCACTCAAGGACGCAATGATGATGGCTCAAGGCTAGTTTTTTGGGCCATTTAATTTCATTTTCATTCTAGAGTACTTTGTGTTAATGAGAGTGAGAGCTTAAAGTTATATTGTTCACCCAAAAATCATTTTTTCACTCTTGTTCCAAATCTGTACGAGTTTCATTCTTCTGCTGAACACAGAAGAATATGGGTAACCAAACAGTTGCTGGTAGCCATTGCCTTACGTGGTATTTTTTCATAGTATGGAAGTCAGTGGCTACCGAAAACTGGGTGATGACAGAATTTAAATTTTGGGGTGAACTATTCCTTAAATAATATAATGAATAGTTTTGGCTCTAACTTCTGATTAAGCCACTTGAAAAAGGGCAATATACACAGACTTGTGACTGCACATTTTGAATTCTATATTATTGAACTGAACCAAAGGCACATTATTTGGCAACCGTAAACAGCCTAGTGTGATGCTAATGAACATCTAAAAATCTTTTTTTTTTTTTTTTTTATAATAATGAAGTTGTATTTATTATACACTAATTTTCAATAATTGATTAAATAAATAAAATAAAGAAATAATAAAATATTTTTTTACATACTAAAAAATAATAATTTGATTATTTATTGAACATAATTGCATCTGTTTGGCTGTAGCAGCCATTTTGCCACGAGTGTAAATGAGTGAATTCAGACAGCTGTAGACATGACTGCGCTCTGTATGCTGTTACAATCACGTGCCATTTGACTACTTGAAATAGAATCTGACTGAAACGCATTTCTAAAATTGGACTGGGGACATATGGATTTAATTTGGATCAGGTCTGTAAATGTCATGCTTTTCATATGTGTTTTTCTGTTAGACTACAAACAACTACACATCTGAGAGGTTTTTTTTTTGGATATACTAAAAATAACACTTTCAATAAACAAAAATGATCAAGTATAAACAATCCATGAGAAAGTCAGAGAGAGAGAGAGAGAGAGAGAGAGAGAGAGCAATACATGAAGTAAAGAGAGAAAAACATATGTTCCTGAATAAATTGAATCAAGCCTGTTATTGTACACCATGTTCCAGTTCAACTGTACAAGTGTGTGTGAGTAAGAATCGTCAGATGAAACTGAATGAAATGGAGGGAAGGAAGGAAGAATGGAAGGATAGAGGAGAAAAGGAAGGAAAAGGGATGACACTGGGCCAAAAAAAGCTGCATTCAGAATAAAAACAAAACGAATGAACGCCTCGCTCGCTCTTGTTTCTGCCTAAATAAAACATGCACGTGTAACGCGATCTGAATCCTGTAACTTTTTCCATTTCGTTGCTCTCCTGCCCTGAATTCCTCTCACATCCTCTGCGTTCTGTATTTCTGGGAATCTGCTGTTGTGTTTTCAGGCCGCAGTTATTAATAACACGTGTGCTCGGAGTCTTTACAGGAAGTGGGAGACGTACTACTCCTATTAGTCAAAACCAGCCAAAACCAACTCGAATCAGTCAAAAGGGAAGAAGATTGAGCTATTATTATGGTTGTGACGAATTAAAGGAATGTTTCGGGTTCAGGCTCTGTGGTCAGCTATGTGGCATGCTTTCAAAAACCAAAGAAAATAATTTGGTTTGTAAAGGACAAATTCAAGTGGTGTTTTCCAGAGAAATGTAATTTCAATTCCAATGAATCTGGAAAGAGCTTCGGGAGGGTTTAAAAACAAAATGTACAGCTCATGATGTTAAAAAATAAAAAAATTCTGCTCTTATTTCATTTCTCATTTTCATCACAACCAAACATAATGCTCTTTAGAAAAACTCAATTATTCCATAGTCTGTCTGAATACTGGATTCTGATTGGCTGGCAGGTATGCAGTAAAACCGTTTAATGCATGGGTAGTTCCAAGTCTGTTTAATCACCGTTCTATATTAATGCGCTGCTTTAATTGATGCACACTAACCAACACGCATCACTCGCTCGCACACACACACACACACACACACACACACATGGAGAGAGAGAGAGAGGTGGGAGATAGCAGATTGTGCTGCACACACACATAAACTTGTTGTCAACGCTTCCCCGCGATTTTTATGTAAGGGATAATCAACGGCTAGCTGTGCATTAAAGGATTTTAATGCACGACGTGGAGGCAAAGAACCACCCGATGCGAAGTGCATTAAAATACGTTAATGCACGGCTAGCCGTTGATTATCCCGCTTATTCCATGGTCATTTGCCAAGTTATAGACAAGTTAAAACTTGTATTGCTCTTTGCAGTGCAATATTTGACCGAATGGGTAAAAATGAGCATTCTGCCAGCTTCAAATCAGACACAGAGATGAAATAGTGCGGTAAGACCACATTTATTTGAATGAATTATAGCATGTATTTCAATTAATTATCGATCGATCGAGAGAGAGAGAGATGACAGTTGTGTGTCAGTTACCTGCTTGCTGCGTCTGCGCGTCTCTCTATACAAACAATTACTTCAAAAACAGCGATTTTATCACCTCGTTGCTGGGGAATATAATGTAGCGATCTAGTATCTCTTTTATTTTAGTATTATATTACGCTTTAAAAAGCTTGGTCATGATAGTCGTGACAACAATGCTATTATTATATAATAACAATTAACAATACTATTTTTATATAATAGTACAAAAAAGATAATTTTAAATTTGAAAATTTCAATTGGCTTTAAACTCAATAAAAGCCATATGTAGGTAGAATTAGATTTTTTTAATTCTATATTGGGACATTAAATTTACATATTTTAATGAAATAAAAAATAAAAAATAAAATTAATGCTTTATTTTAAAAGTTTTTTTAAAAGCATCACATTAAAAAATCTAGCAATCTATCAAATACATGATTAAAGACAGCATGAAATGAAAATTTACTCTATTTTCTAAATGCATGTATCCCTGAAAATTACTATGATTTACTACAAAAATAAATAATTTAAAAAAATATATATTCTTTAAAATATGTTCTATAAATCACCCTAGTGGACAGAAAGTTCCCAACTGAAGAATCAATCATAAATGTAACATTTATGTTGTGTTCCAATTATTTTGACACAAAGAGGATTTTCTTTTTCCCGAAAATGCTTGAAAAGTTAATGTCATCGCATTGGACTAAAACTTACTGACTTTGACTTTTGACAGGGTATAACAACTCCCCCCACCAAATTCCACAACATTCTAATTTATTGAGATGCACCTGTATATATATTTTTTCTCACTTTTTGGGGATTTTCCACCCACCTTGTTACACTTGTGTGCCAAGTTCAAAAATAACTGTCCTACAAAAAGCTTCTCGTTATGCTATATTACGACCAAATATTGGATTCAATTTTTTGACAAAAACACTGAATCCAAGATATGGTATCCAAGATATCCAAAATCCAAGATATACAGCATAATGAGAGATTTAGAACCAACACACTAAACTGCTAAAGAAATTTCAGCACAGCGCAAGGATTAAAGATTGACGTTTTGGCTGGTTTTATACCATCTTCTGAAACTAAGTCCTGTCTCCTTCTCTTTCTGCAGGTTTTGTGCTGGTGATCGGTCTGGTGACGTTCTACAGGATCGGCCCCTACACTCACCTGTCCTACGCCTGCTATGTTAACATTGCTGCTTGCTTGTTTGCCACGTTAGCGGCCGCCATGCTAATCTGGAATATTCTGCATCGCCGTGATGACTGCATGTCTCCGTCGGTCATCGTTATCAGCCGATCTCTGACCACACCCTTCAGGCCGCGCCTAGACAATGACTACGTAGAGTCGCCATGCTGACACACAAAGACACATCTCACCTGAGACAAAACACAGGGTGGATATTTAGACGGACGGACACAAATACACATGGAGAGGATTTCTATCATTTTATGTGAAATTGATCTCCTGGACGGACTTCATGCTTAAGGATGAGGGCAGTGATCCTGTGACTGCAGAAAGTGGTTTCGGACTGAAAGGAAGCCTTTTGAAACTCATTAAACACAGAAGCAGGACTGTGGATTGCAAAGAATACAACTGACAGATAAAGATCAAGCTGGATCTTGACACATTTATATTCATAACTGCACTTAAGAGAAAGTAGAAGCACATTCATATGCACATGTATCTGTTATAGTTCTATGAAACATGGAGCTTCAGATTTCAAAAGGAGTCTAGGCATTGAATATTGCTCACAGGTCAATTGAATCTAGTCCTTTACAGGCCGGCATGGAATCTGCACGTTTATACATGTTCTCTGCTAATTGAAGGGAAAAAAATTTCGGATAGATTTTAATTAGGAAATTTTCAAATGTCCAATCACATTTTACTCCATTTTTTTTTTTTTTGTGTTTTGCATAAAGAAGCCAAGTCTATTTTTTTAGAAACATTGCAATATTTTGCATTATGACATTACATTTATAACAAATAAGCACATTTGCCCCCAAATTCTCAAAATGTGTTCAGATGCTTTACTTTTGAGCTTTTTTGTATTTTTTTTTATTAAAACAACCATAAATTAAAGCAGTAAAACAAATATACAAAACATAAAACCACGAATTAATGTAATGAGAACTCTGGGAAAAAATTGCTTAATTGCCATAAAAATGTGTAATTGCTTATTTTTGTTTAAGCAAAAAATAATTTATTATTATTATTATTTTTAATTGAATTTGAGAAGGAACAAGATAGAAATCATGGAGAATGTTTCAGTAATGAGAACTGTGGGGAAATTTTGCTTTATTACAAAGAAAATTTGCTTAATTGCTTCATTTTGTTTATGCAAAAATATAATTTTTTATTTTTATTTTTTGGTTTTTGTTTTTATTGTGGAGAGATATATGACATCCAAATATGGTAAAATGTGTTAAACAGAGCTGGGAGTATTATCAAATTAATCCAAAATAATCATTCTATGAATATGTGAAGGCGACAAGACGTAAATCTGGAGTAGGGATGCACGATATTATTGGACTGATATCGGAATCGGCCGAGAATGGCTTTAAATGTAAATATCGGCATCGGCCCGATATGAAAAATTATGCCGATATGTCTTGCCGATATGAGGAGTACGTTAAAGGGTTAGTTCTCCCAAAAATGAAAATTCTGTCATTAATTACTCACCCTCATGTCGTTTCAAACCCATAAGACCTTCGTTCATCTTCGGAACACAAATTAAGATATTTTTGATGGAATCTGAGAGCTGTCTGACTCTGCATAGACAGCAAGGCAACTGAAATGTTCTCAAGTTCAGAGACGTAGCAAGGAGATCGGTAAAATAATCCATGTGACATCAGGGGTTCAACCGTAATTTTACGAAGCTACGAGAATACTTTTTTGTGCGCCTCTCAGATTCCATCAAAAATATCTTAATTTGTGTTCCGAAGATGAACGAAGGTCTTACGGGTTTGAAACGACATAAGGGTGAGTAATTAATGACAGAATTTTCATTTTTGGGTGAACTAACCCTTTAACTCACATGTGCTCAGGGTGTGCTAGTGATTAGATCACGTCAGCAGTGTGGCTCATTCTTGAAGCAAAGTTTTGTCTGAATGATGATTAGATTCACTCTTTTGGATCGCTGCATTTAATCTGTGAAAGCATGTACAGAATTACGCGTTCGGTGTATGATAGAGTAATAGCACGTGCAGTGGCAGCAGCTGCAGCTTTCCCAGGGTCCTAATCCCCGTTCGGTAAGGAGTTTTAATCTGTAGGGGGTGCTGTTGGCCTACTTCTAATTGAATTTAAAAGTAAAATAGCCTACACAAATAACATTTAGACTGTTTCTGATGAAATAAAGCAGTAATTGATGTCATAAAATAATGAGTATGTTTTGATTTAAATGTCAGAAGCTATAGCTTACATGAAAAAAAATCACAAACATGACACTTGTAAATTAAATCATTTTATATATACTTAATGTGTAATATGTTTTATTTTTTAAACAAATCATAAGCTCTAAAAGATTTTTTTCTCTTTTGAACTTAGACTTGATTCTCTTTTGCTTTAGACCATCTACAAATGTTAAATCTTAAAATAAAATGTTAGGATTAACACTGCATCTTTATGGGGGAAAAATGCAGCGATTGATATATAGTTTATTTATAGTTATTTTAAAGCTTCGAGACTTGGTGTTGTTTCCAAACAAAAGGAAATATATCGGTATCGGCCAAAATGAGTTGAAAAATATCGGCAAAAATCCAGTATCGTGCATCCCTAATCTGAAGGAGCAGATTCTGTGCAGGCCGTGTCATTTGGTACCAAAATTATTTTAGTGACTAATGCCTGTGCATTTATCTGTGACAATACATCTGATATTACATAATGTACAAGATGCCCAATGAGGAAACTCTGTATAGTCACAATTAAGAAGGAGATGATCTGAAAGTGATCATAATTTTATGATAGACTGGAACTATATCAGTTCAGTAAACACTAGTCATTAATATTTGCTAACCTGTGCCTGTGGTACCCATTTATGAGTATAATATAGAGCTATATTAAATATATTATTAAAATTTCACATTTCACCCTGAGCGGGACTGGTATAATATTATTAAAGAAATAAACATAAAGCCATTCAACACTCAAAGGGGATTTTCTGGGTTTGACTGTGTGTGTGTGTGTGCGTGTGTGAGAGAGATCGGTGAGCACAGAAGAGAGTCAAGGACAGTCTGAATGAGAGGAAATGAATGGAGACACACGTTATACTCTACTGTGACCCCTGATTCCAGACTGACACTTGAGCGATGATAACGTGAGTAATTAATTTTACTACATGCACAGAAACTATTGGCATAAATAAGGGACAGCTCACCTGAAAATGGTCAAAGAATCATGAAAAAAATGTATTCCATAAAAATATGAAGTAGCACAACTGTTTTTTCAACATGATAATACTAAGAAATGTTTCTTGAGCATATTAGAATGATTTCTGCAGGATCATGTGACACTGAAGACTGGTGTAATAATGCTGAAAATTCAGCTTTGATCACAGGAAATTACATTTTAAAATATATTTAAACAGAAAACAGTTATTTTAAGTTACACAGGTTTGGAATGATAGAAAATCTTTTAGCTGCACTATCCTTTAAAAAGTTAAAGGTCATATAAGGTAAAAGGTTAAAGGTCATATAAACATATCCGACAGTCCGTGACACAGACAAACCCTACAGGGATCCGTCACAGTTCTTGAGAATGTGATTGTTAAAGATAGGCATCAATAGATCACTCAACTCGAGCTCTTTTCCTCTCCTCGCCGTTTCATCTGTTGCTAAAATGAACTAAAACAATACAGCAGGAACGTAGAGTACACACACCCCGTACAGTCATGGAAATCTGTGTCTTCTACGGTAGAGCTCTCATACACTCAGGCGTCTTTTGGGAAGCTGCTACACACACCTACATATAAACATCAGTAACCTTACAAGCACGCAAAGAACAATACAATTCCCATTACAAACATGAAACGCACACACACCCTTCCTAAAAGCCACTTCTGTATATTTCATTCGAACAGGGAGACGGCAGTATGTGTGTGTGTGTGTGTCCTCTGTGGAAATATGACAGGGAATGCATTTTGTGTCTGAAATCAATGACAACACTCATACAATACAAACGTTCGGCTCACTGTTACCTCATTTATCAGTAGGAAATCGTTTTTATGATAAAGATCACTTTACATAAAACCTCCCTTTTCGCTGGAATGGATGGTAACTGGTAATCATGCCATCTCGCACGTCCTCCACATACACCCAGACCTGCCGCAGGCAGGCAGAACACAGGGGATGTTTCACTCACTCACTGTGACTCAGTCAAACACAGGCCAAATATACTTGTATTTTAAAACCTAGTAAGCTGCCTACCTAGACAGTATTTTTAGTTGCGATTAACCAGGATATCAATTGGCCTATATTTTGAGATGATCAGTACAGTGTTGTTACTGTTAATTAAAACTAAAACTATTAGAAATCGTTTTCTTTAACTGAAATGAAGCTGAAATAAAAATTCAATATAAATATTAGATAAAAAAAAAAAAGAAATGGTGCATGGCAACTGACTGAAATAAAATAAGATAAATCTTAAGTATTAATGTTACTAAAACTAAATCTGAAATAAAAATAAATTAAAAAAACGAATAAAAATGAAAACACTAAAAATATAAAATAAAAGATCATTCAAAATATTAATACAAATTTTAATAGGATATAAAAATACTAAAATAGCACTGGATCAGCAACAGCAAATTAGTTTTCATCTGCTGACATTTTCAAATATTTTTATTTTCAATTAGCTTTTATTTTTTTTATTTTCTATTTTCATTTTCATTTAAGTTTTAGTAATTTTGTTGCTTTTTTATTTCTATTTAGTTTTACTTTATATTTATTTTTAGTAATTTTAGTATTTTACCTTAAACATAGCTGCCAAGGCAGCATTTCTAATTTCTACGTTTTTTTTAATTTCAGGTTTTTCAATATTTCTAATTATATTTTTTACTTCAGCTTAATTTCAATGAACTATTTTTAATAGTTTTAGTTGACAATAACAGTTTCTGAGTAATCAGCAAATGATCATCCTGCTCTGTACATATCAGTATCGATCACTACAGTAGTTTTTTGGCCATTAGATTCATGTTCAAACACACCTATGATTCTCAAAAATGCTGACATTTGTGTCTGTTCTGAACCAGGAATAAACTGATTTAAAAAAGGATGATGCTACGCATTTTTTTTTTAATCTTTGAGTTAGATTTGTCTTGAAAATCCTTTTGTAAATTATTTAGCCACTTTCCCATATCTCACATACAATGTTTGGACTGAATTTTGTGAAAAAATAAATAAATAAATAAAGTTAAAGAAGCTTAAGTTTACAGTTACGCACATTTACTGCACTAAACTTTTTTTTTTATACAAAATACATATTTTACAAAATAGGTGATAACTAATACTAACCAAAAAAAAAAAGGAAAACAAAGCTATAAGTTGAATCAAGTTCGACTAAAAAAAATAAAAATTAAAGCTAGAAGTCTAATCAAGTGTTCCAAATTTGAGGTTGATATCACAAAAAATTAGGTTCCTATGAAATTTTATTTAGGTGCTAGATAAAACAAAATCAAATAAAATAGGTGATGAATTATGAGAGTTTAAGCTTTTAAATCATACTTAATTTATAATTACTTAAATATGATTTATGAAATAAAAATATATGAAAAAATATAAGTAAAATAGTAATAAAAAAAGAAATAAAAATCAATTAATTTCATATTCATTAGGTTGTGTTTTACCTTCTCTGTTTGTGATTGGATGCTGCAGAGGAGGTCAGAATTCACGGGAACCGTTTCACACACAAACAGACGTGGCTCGTTCTCGTCCCAGAACTGAGAAACAGGGCAGCGGGCGGCCAACTCCCCCTCACATCGAGTTCTTAAATTCAAATACAAATTTTCACAATGAACGTTCGCTTATCTTCATCTCTGTTCCTGTGAGACCACACAAACAGAAACATAGGTACCTTTGACTGTCCTCGGACTGTGCGAGACTGCTCTCTGGCCTCCCTGTGAAGAAGTCGAAGTGAGACAGCGTGTCCAGCTCGATGTCATAGAAATACACTTTATTATCCGGCCGCCCGTTCACCTACAATGCACAAAACACATTTATCTGTTATATCCGCTATATATGACAGATTCATGTTGATAAAGCTTATATGATATGTTACCGTTTTGTTAAATTTTATGATGCCTTATTTTGTTATTTCTCTTCTTTTCAATAAACATTTGGAAAAAAAAAAAGGGAATTTGTAAGTCACAATTTGGTTTTTCATTACCATTTTCCACCTGCTGCATTTCTGCAGTTCAGTTTTAATATTCTATCTTGGTCGACTAGGAAAGAGGCTTTTGCATTGTGAACATTACCATGCATCAAACTTGTATTTCAAAAGAGCAAAATCCCTTTAAGAACAGTCTTTTTTGTACCTGTGCAATGAGGACGCTCAACTGACTGCCGCTGGCATTGCATCTGACTGATCTCAGAGCGCCCAGGTCAGGAATGAGCTCAGAGAGGTTCTTCGTGACGCCCATGGCTTTGGCCTCCCTGTGCACACAAACACACACGCATTACACACACATATACTGTATACATTTACACACGTTTGAGTAGATTAGTGGGTGTTTACCTGCGTGTGAGGTCAAAGACTCTGACATGACACGTATCTGTTCCCACAGCCAGGTAAGATCCACACACACTCAGCTGTGTCGGGTTTCCTTCCGCTTCAGAAAACGCCAACAACTGCTTCACGGTGCCCTGGACATTCACACACACACAAACACACACTCATGAAACACAAACTTGGAAATGTGAACAGTCACTGTGTACTTTGTGTTCTATGTGTATTTTCATATGATAAAGATGGTGGATGTGTGTGTGGAGTTTGCACACGTGTGTGTGTACCTAGAACTTTTAAACACATATACACAGATATAGTATACGTAACATTTCATTTTTATCTCACATTTTATTTAATCACATTTCTCACACTGATTAAATAATTTAACAAAATAATTTTTTGTTATTATTATTACATATAACATATATTTAAATAAATAATATATAAGATTTTTTTAATTATTTAGCACAATCAGACATTTTTAATAATAATATTAATCAGTTTTAACATTGCTTTTCTTTAAAAGTTGTGTAAATAAATTCCACTGGTTCTGGTCATGTGGCAATAAAAAAATATTGTGTCGTGTGGTGAACAAGGATGCTGACTTGTGGGTTTATGGTAAAATCATCACAGTACATTTGCAGAATGAGGTGAAACTAGAAAAGTGCTGCTGTGTGAATGTGCCACATTGTGTGTGTACCTGTGGTGTGCGGATCTGGACACGGTTTGGTTCGACAGTATAAATGTTTTCTTCATGAACCACAAGAGCAGGAGACTCACACTGGAAAGAACCTGATGATAAAAACAAGAGAATTCATCATAAAATGACTCGGTGTCTCTTATATGCCCTGGCATTTAAGAAAGTCCTGATTCTGTGTGGTCCTGCACATCAGTCAAGGCATATTATACATCATTAATCTGTTGTCTGGAAATATTTTGTGTTTATGGTACCTGTGCTATGTAGGGTTTGTCCTGATGGCTCGTACACAGTGATATATTTCCCGTTCCACACCGCGACCATATCCTGTACAAACAGATGCAGAAAAAAAACTTAATCAACTTTTAATAAAACATTTGCAGAATGAGGTGAAACTAGAAAAGTGCTGCTGTGTGAATGTGCCACATTGAATGTGTCTTACCTTGGTGACTTGCACGGCTCTGATGTGTGTGTCTGTGTGGAAGGTGATGTGTGTGTTGGTGTTGAAGTTGGCCAGGCTGAGCTGTGTTGGCGTGAGCTGCACTGCTGCCATCTGCTGGCTGTAATGAGAACACAGAACATGCTCTGACAGAATCACCACACAGCTGCTGCTGCAGACGGCCAACAGATGAGAGCTCGAACCCCACTGCAGACACACAGACAGACACGGGGAGACAGACTTCAACAAACTGAAGCAAGAATCAGAATTACTGTCTGTAGTAACCAATCGCATGTCAAACATAATGTTGGAAATATCCCTAAATATCTAAAGCAACTGCTCACTTGTAGCTGTGAGATGTTTCCTTCCACCTCTGCTGGTGTTTGGAGTTTCCAGTGTATTTTCGTGTCTCCCTGCTGATCACTCACAGTCACCATGTGCCACAGAGCAACACGACCTCTGCTGGTACCTGCTGCAAGAACTTCTGCAGATAAAAAACACAAAGATTCAGATTACTTTTCAACAAAATAACACTTATAAAATCACTCACATTTGTGTTTTGGCAGATGCTTTTATACAAAATGACCTAAACTGTATTCAAGGTATACATTTAATCAATATATGCATTGCTCTGGGAATCAAACCTATTAGCTTTTTTGTCTTTTCAGTAAGAATTGAAAAAATATACATTTAAGCAAAATTAGATTTTTTTTTTTATTTACTTTTTTGATCAATTTATGCACCCTTTCTAAATGAGTATCATTTAGTATCACAGTTTCCACAAAAATATGAAGCTGCACAACTGTTTTCAAAACTGATAACAATAATAAATGTTTCTTGAGCAGCAAATCAGCATATTAGAATGATTTCTGAAGGATCATGTGACACTTTCAGTAATGATGCTGAAAATTCAGGTTTGCATCACAGGAATAATTAATATTTTAAAATATATTCAAATAGAAAACACTCATTTTAAATTGTAAAAATATTTCACAATATTACTCTTTTTACTGTATTTTGATTGAATAAATAGCATAAAAAGACTTCTTTCAACAACATAAAAATCTTAGTGATTCCAAAAGGTAGTACGGTTGTAAACCGTAGTAAAACAATACAGAAACTCAGACCGTATTTGAGCAAGTAACACAGTACATTTGCAGAATGAGGTGAAACTAGAAAAGTGCTGCTGTGTGAATGTGCCACATTGAATGTGTCTTACCTTGGTGACTTGCACGGCTCTGATGTGTGTGTCTGTGTGGAAGGTGATGTGTGTGTTGGTGTTGAAGTTGGCCAGGCTGAGCTGTGTTGGCGTGAGCTGCACTGCTGCCATCTGCTGGCTGTAATGAGAACACAGAACATGCTCTGACAGAATCACCACACAGCTGCTGCTGCAGACGGCCAACAGATGAGAGCTCGAACCCCACTGCAGACACACAGACAGACACGGGGAGACAGACTTCAACAAACTGAAGCAAGAATCAGAATTACTGTCTGTAGTAACCAATCGCATGTCAAACATAATGTTGGAAATATCCCTAAATATCTAAAGCAACTGCTCACTTGTAGCTGTGAGATGTTTCCTTCCACCTCTGCTGGTGTTTGGAGTTTCCAGTGTATTTTCGTGTCTCCCTGCTGATCACTCACAGTCACCATGTGCCACAGAGCAACACGACCTCTGCTGGTACCTGCTGCAAGAACTTCTGCAGATAAAAAACACAAAGATTCAGATTACTTTTCAACAAAATAACACTTATAAAATCACTCACATTTGTGTTTTGGCAGATGCTTTTATACAAAATGACCTAAACTGTATTCAAGGTATACATTTAATCAATATATGCATTGCTCTGGGAATCAAACCTATTAGCTTTTTTGTCTTTTCAGTAAGAATTGAAAAAATATACATTTAAGCAAAATTAGATTTTTTTTTTTATTTACTTTTTTGATCAATTTATGCACCCTTTCTAAATGAGTATCATTTAGTATCACAGTTTCCACAAAAATATGAAGCTGCACAACTGTTTTCAAAACTGATAACAATAATAAATGTTTCTTGAGCAGCAAATCAGCATATTAGAATGATTTCTGAAGGATCATGTGACACTTTCAGTAATGATGCTGAAAATTCAGGTTTGCATCACAGGAATAATTAATATTTTAAAATATATTCAAATAGAAAACACTCATTTTAAATTGTAAAAATATTTCACAATATTACTCTTTTTACTGTATTTTGATTGAATAAATAGCATAAAAAGACTTCTTTCAACAACATAAAAATCTTAGTGATTCCAAAAGGTAGTACGGTTGTAAACCGTAGTAAAACAATACAGAAACTCAGACCGTATTTGAGCAAGTAACAGTGGAAGTCTTACGTTTAGAAGTGCAAAAAGACACACAGTTGAGAAGTTCTCCTTTCTCAAAGCCCAGAGACTCATCGAGTGACAGAGCGTAATGATCATCCAACTCCACATCCCACAACCTATACAAACACACACACACACACCATCAGAGCACATGCAACATCTCAGGGCAACTGCTGAGAAACTATACAACACTTTAATATACAAGGTTTAAAAAAAAACAAAAAAAAACAGAGGACTAAAATTTGTTGTTAACCTGATGTGTTGTTCTCCTGATGCAGTGATGAGCAAACCGTTTTCTGTCCACACAATGTCTGCGTGCTGCACACCTCTGCCACTGAGCTTCACCTGTACACACACCAGGGTTATTATACTTAACTAAAACTTAAACAAAAAAAAAACAAAAAAACTTGAAATAAAATAAATGTTAACTAAAATAAAATATATATTTTTAATTATTTTATTTCAGCTAGTTGCCATTTATTTTCATTTAATGTAACTTGGTGTACTAAAATAGCTAAAATAAAATAAATGTAATAAAAACTATGTAGACATATTTAAAAAAAATATATATAATAATAATAATATATGACATATCTTGATGTACTAAAATAACTAAAAACTATATAGGCATTAAAAAAAAAAACATTTTAAATGCAAAAACATACAACATAATTGCTAAAACTTTAACTAAAATAAAATGAAATTAGAGGATGTAAAACTAAAGAACTTGTCTGGTTTTTGTGGTTGTATTCTGATATCTAATTAGCCTTGACATATGAGGTGTGATCTGATTGGCTGTTACCTTACTGATCTCCTGAGCGATTCCTTCCGGTCCAAGACTGAACTGAGAGAGCAGCAGTGAGTCTGTTACCACGGCGAGAACGTCCCTCCTCTTGGAGTACCACATCGTCTGGATCTTACTCTCAACGGAAACCAATGGCACACTCCGCGCCTGCTCATCCACGCTGTACACACTCCCTAAATAACACACACACACACACGCGCGTTTAGAACGAACCCACAGCAACTGAACATCATTAGTACTCATCCTGTCATCTCTCACCATCAGCAGTACTGATGTAGAATGTCAGTCCTTCCTGTGATCCCAGCGCAAACGCTGCTCTTTTATTGCTCTTCTTCCAGTTAAACATGTCCAGAGCGCTTTCATCTCCGCTAACAGCAGCACGGGCCAGCATCGCCACATCCCTACAGATATAAACACACACGGTAGGATTCTTATGCCAGATACACAGCATATAAAGTGTAGCAACTCTTGTGAAAAACTTTTTTTAAAATAGCACTTTGTATGGAAATAATATACTAGTCTATAAGAGAATATACTAAAGTGTGTTATGTTTTCTTAATTTCATGCTCTAACTTTCACAACTCAGAATTTCCTCTCTAGTCTAGCTCTAACTTTTAAGGACACTGTTCAGAAATCATTATGTTATTGATGTGAGGGTTAAATGAGACTCACTCAGCAGGTGGTGGAGGTCTGAAGATGCAACACGTCAGTGGTTTACTGTAGTCATGTTTTATCAGAGGAGATCCCTGCAGTTTCCCTCTAGCGTCCACCCTCCACACCGCCATAACACCTGCCTGTAACACACATACATAATTTCAACTCAGTGCATGTAAAGCCTGAACATTAGCATTTATTATACAATACAGAGAAATATACATGTATGCAGTGTGTGTAACCTGATCTCCCGTGACCAGTCGGCCGCCGTTACTGCTCCACTCCAGCACTGTGATGCAGGCATTGTGTGTGTTGTTGGGCAGGGGTGTGAGTTCACCGGAGGGGTGTGAGAGGAGCATGGTCTCGCCCGTCTCCCATCCCACCGCCAGCAGGAGTTTAGTCGGGTGCCACTGCAACAACGAGGGGCTGAATCCCCGTTCCACATGACAGAGCTCGACATGCTCCCCCTTGAACACACACAAATTACAGAACACATTAAAACTCAACGTCACCACTGACACTATTTCATGAAAGAATACTGGATCTTTATCATAAAATAACATTCAGATTTAACTATTACATGTTAAGTGAACTATTAAGTTTGTTAGGTTAGAACTGAAATGATAAAACAATACATACACTACTGTTCAAAAGTTTGAATGATTTTTTATGTTTCTGAAAAACGTCTCTTATGCTCACCAAGGCTGCATTTATTTGATAAAAAATACTGTAAGAAGATATGAAATATAATTATAATTTATAGTCTTCTATTTGAATATACTTACAAATGTAATTTATTGCTGTGATCAAAGCTGAATTTTCAGCATCATTACTCCAGTCTTCAGTGTCACGATCCTTCAGAAAACATTCTAATATGCTGATTTGCTGCTCGAGAAAAATGTATTCATATTATAAAGTTGTGCTGCATCATATTTTTGTGGAAACTTTTTTTCAGTGTTCTTTGACGAATAAAAAAGTTCAAATGTCTTTAATGTTGCTTTTGATCAATATTGATCGCATATTTGCTGAATAAAAGTATTAATTTTTTTTTTTTTTACTTACTAACCACAAACTTTTGAATGGTAGTGCATCAAGGTTTCCACTAAAATATGAAGCAACACAACCATTTTCAACATTGATAAATAAAAAGAAATGTTTGTTGACCAGCAGATCCGCATATTAGAATGATTTCTGAAGGATCATGTGACACTGAAGACTGGAGTAATGATGCTGAAAATTCAGCATTTGTATCATAATAATAAATTACAATTTAAATACACTGAAAGAGAAAACAGGTTTTTGAAATAGTAATAATATTACACAATATTACTGATTTACTGTATTTTGGTTTAAATAATTGCAGGCTTGGTGAGCAGAAAAGACTTTAAAAAACATGTTAAAAAAACCTACAGACCCCAAACTTTTGAACAGTAGTGTATTGTGTTGCTTAAAATTTATATTAATGTATAACTACATTAACAAGCAGTGACAGGTGTACAGAATCATCTCTCACCTGTTGCAGGTAAAGATCCACACAGCCCCCGGTGGAGGGGTTCACAGAGCCCACGGCCAGCACACACACGCTGGAATGCCATGAGATCAGGACGGCCGCTCCACTGCTGTCAGGGGCCTCGACGCGATGATCAAAATACACAGCCATGACCTACAAAACTATAAGAATTATTATTAGGCTGTATTATCATAAGACACATCTTACAACAGCAATCTAACACTGACAATATTGTTTGAGAACCTATATATGACAACTACAGTATAAAAAAATCACTCTGTAGATGGTTTAATGTGGCTTACTGCATTATTATGATGGTACTATGGTACAACGAAGGAGTCATACCATGGTATTTTGATACACACTGCATGTTTACCATATGATAATACAGTGGTATTTAAACGATAATCCAAGGTACTTCACATAGCAAAGTGTCCAAAAACACGGCGTTACCATGTTAGTCTGACCAAAAAACATGGTAGTACCATGGTATTTTTTTATGTAACGTTAAGTGTGACTCCTCAAAGTTAACGGTTTGCTGCGCTGATAAAGTTGTAGATAAGATGTATTTCTAAAGCTTGTAAAACTGTTGCGATGCTATCTTGAGCTTTTTCGGTGTCATTGGCGAAGTGTAATGGAACATTTTGTTTACATCTGTTTTTAGCGTTAGTAAATGTGTCGCTAGCTCTGTTAGCTAATCCACACCGCGGCCTGCCGCTTTAAAAACCTTTCAAAGAACGAATGTTTAAAGAATTTACCTGAGAGCTCTTCCACTCAGCACTGCCGTTATGACCGTGTGTTTTTCGCGCAGCATATGTATAATTTAGACAATAAAAGGATGAAATTAGCCCTTCGATATTTACGACGCGCCTTTAGCTGTGAAGCGTCTTTTTCGGTTGCCCAGACAACGCAAAAAGGAGACGAAGCGCGGAGGGGCGGAGCTAATGCGCGGAAGATGCGTTTCAACCAATGAGATGAAAGCGAGTGGAATAGCTAATAAGGTGCGTTTTGTTATTATGGTTTCAGCACATGTATGTAGAAATTAGGTCTAAAATGGGGTTATTAGGGTAACCGCAGCTTGATAATATGAGTTTGCCGTCAACAATCAACCCATTTGTATTTTTATTTAGAATTTAAACATAGGTTGGTCTGGAATAGAGGAGAGCAACAGATTTCGGTAACATTTATTAAGGCCTTGTCAGATTTGGTGGCTCTGCTGTATTTCTGTTGCTTTTCGCATCAGAGCAATAGGCTTTCTAATATATAAAATAGAGCATCTTAGACATCACTGGAGTGAATTTGGGTAACATTAAAGCCATTCTGGGAGAAATCAAGTGGGGTAACAGATTTTGGTAACCTTTATTTATGCCTTGTCAGGTAATAGATTTTGGTAACATGTTACCCTGCTGTATATCTGTAGCTGTTCATATCAGACTCAAATGCTTTCTAAGACATAAAATTATGAGTTTTCCCTAAAAGCACAGCATAAAGCGTAAAGAACTTTGTTTTGTGAACAGAAGTCTTCAATGACCCCCAAAAGCTCTTTATTTTACAGTCACTAAAACATTAGTAGTACAAAAATAACTCAAAACATGAAAACCAAAGAACAATGCCACAGTAATTAGGGATGCATCATGTCAGGGTCATAAAATCTTCTCCAGATGAGTGTGTGATATTGTCAGCCCTCCTCAGGTTTCCATATCTGGGATTTGCAGCTGAGTTTTGAGGTTTTTGTCCAGCAGCATTAAACTCTGTACCGCCAAACTCCTGCAGTCTGCATCACAATCATTCTCTGCCACATCTGCACGCAATAACACATTTATGAATAACATTCACATCTACAAACACAAAGAGTCATACAAACACTCTCTACCTGCTAGCCAGGCTCTGGTCTCCATCAGGTCATCACCGAGTTCTGCGAGTAAGTTCTCACCAGGCATGCTCAGAAACACACCACAAACCGCAAACACAACGCCCCTCCGCACCATCCTATAGTTAAAGCCAGAGAGAGTGTAACATCATGACATGTACAGTATATGCATGTAATATAATGCATCCTAGAACACAAGCTTACTGGTCAGTGTGGAAGCGCACGGTCCAAACAAAATCCAGCAGAGCTCGGCCCATCTGAGACGCAACCTGAAATAAAACATCAATGATTATATGAAGTGCGTATTATTCCTAATAGGGCTGCACCATTTGAGGAATAAATCAAATTGCAATTTTTCTGATAAATTATGGGATTTGAAATTTAAATGCAATTAAAAATTCCAAGTTTTGTTATTATATATCAATATGACTATAAAATAATTATAATTATTATTATTATTATTACTAATTTAAATACAAAAAAAAATCTAAATTACTATTGTAATATTTCACTGCAAAATAAAATGGAGTATTTAAGAATTTTTTTTTTTTTAATGCAATTGTGATTTAAAATGCAATAAAAAAAAATCCAGGTTTGCTGTGCTTGTTTGCAGGGATGCACAATTTGGCCAAAATGTTGTGATTATATATCAATATGGCAAATAATAATAAGAAGAAGAAGAACAACAACAACAAAGAGAAGAATTATGATGATGCTGATGATTATTATTATTATTACTAAATAAAAATATAAAATTTTCTAAATAAAAACAAGAAATATTACTATTGTAATGTTTCACTGTTAAAGAAAAAAGAAGTGTTTAATAAAAAAATATAATATAATAATAATAATTATTATTATTTTAGATTGTAACATTAAAATTACAATACTATTATTTATGGCTGTCTTAATTTCTTCATTATGATTGTACCGGTGCATTGATGGCCAGGTGCATGAGCAGCCCAAGAGTGTGCAGCAGTCTTCCTAGCACTAGATGATCACTCCCCAGAAGGTCAAAGGTCACCTGCGGCCTATAACAAAACATGAAATCAGTGCAATAATGTAACATGAGCTAAAGAAAATCTGCATGCAAACAAACCTGTCATAGCTCCTGAGCAGCGGGAAGAAGAAGAAACCCGCGACCGGTGCATAACGGTTGGGAACGGCTTTAACAGATTGAGTCCCACCCTGAATAGAATGAATTAAACATCAATATTAGACATCATTTCATTGTTAATGTGCAATATGCACCTTTGTGAGGGCGTCTTACCTTGCTAATTCGTCTGGTTTTACTCTGGATTCGTTTTTCCACAATCTGCCGCCAGTGTGTGATGTCATCACACTGCTCTAGAGCTGTCACTGCACTGATTGGCTGAGCTCCAGCGTGCTTATTTATGATTGGCTCAGACAGTTCCTGGGCGGAGAGAGCAAGAACCTGGAACAGTAGAAGCGTTAGTTTAGTGGTTGAGAAGTCACATGTGTCACACGATCCTTCAGAAATCATTCTAATATGCTGATTTCCTGCTCAAGAAACATTTCTAATTATTATCAATGTTGAAAATAGTTGTGCTGCTTTATATTTTTGTGGAAACCGTGATACATTTTTTTCAGGATTCTTTACATCGGTCTGACCTCCAGAATGTCCATTCTCTGTCTCAAGCTGTAGTTGAGAGAGTAGAACTCTGTCGTCCAATAATCTACAACCTACAGAAGATAAAAAGCATAGTCACTTCCATATGCTCCTATGTAGAGCTGAGTGTGTTTGTGATCATCTGTCTGATGTCTCACCGGTTTGACGTCTGTAACAGTGAGGGCCACCATAGCGTTCTGCCGGAGCGTGTGGAAGTGTGCTGTGCTGTATCTGTCCTCCAGGTGGAGCAGCACTTTACTGAACTGAACACTCACCTGTAATACACACTCAAACTAATGAGTAATGAGATATACAAGAGTTTAATCATTAAAAGTCTGCTGCGATGACCTCTGACCTCTTGTGTGGCCTTCACATTCTTCCTAAAGAGAGCTTCTGCCTGTTGCAGACTGAGTTCAACCCTTTCAGCATCATCAGACGATATTAATGCTGCAAATAAAAGACACGGTCAATGAAATGGCCTCAGAAAATGATCTAAAAAAAAAACTGCAAATAGACAGTTAAAGGTCTGTGATTGCAGGGTGATCATCCTTAATTAGTTGGTTAATCAGAGCACACCTCGCTTTTCAGACCGATTAGTTTTGTAAAAATCGACGCGTTTCAGAAAGGCGGGGCATAGAGGAGAAACAATAATGTACAGTATGTGGAAAATAATGTTTTTTTTTAACCTTAAACCGCATAAACACATTTCATTACACCAAATACACAAAATAATGTTCTTTTTAGCAGCATCATATGACCCCTTTAATAAAAACTGTAATATTGTGTAAATAATACTTAAATAACACTTTTTGACTGTAGATCACCTTCCAGACAGTCTCTGACGTAACGGGGCGGTGCAGATTTCTTCTTCTCCTGATCAGCTGACATGTCATATGGAGTCAGATCATCATCACTTAAGAGAAGAATAGACACGTCATTTCAAGAGAAATGTTATTAGTGAGCAACATCACTGGACGTACAGTTCTCATGTGTGTTTATGTGTACCTGTCCAGTTCAGAATCACTCCCGCGACCAGCTTCTGATGGCACTGACTGACCTGCTGAACCCTCAACTTTAGACTCTGGTTGAAGACTGAAACAAAATGTCAAAAAGTCATAGAGGTGTCACATAGAGCAAATTTTAATTTTAAAATAAGTTGCACTGGTTCAAAATTGCATGGTAAGAAAAAAATTTGTTGCATTGGTCCAAAAGTCACATTTTATTATTACAAAATACTGGTAAATATAACCAAACGTTTGCAAACATTAAAAACACTAGAAATATGTAGCTAGTTCCGCTCACTTAAAAAAAAAAATCCTTTAAATATAAAGGTATTCAGAACAGGAATGAAAAACATAAATTATAGTGGCATTTGTTATAAACAACATTTATTATAAACATCAAGCCTATACTAATTTATTTAAAGCGAAATTACCGACACGTGGGAAACGTGTTATACAAATAAACTTTTATGCTGTATGAATCCAGATGTTTTCCATGCTTGACATTCATTGCATTACATAAGTTGTTTTGGAATATAAGCTGCAGCATGTTTCAGACGATTAAAAAAAACATATATACCGGAAAATATGGTAAACAAAATAATGACATGAAGTGTATATTTTACCTAGTGGAGGTATCAGGCCGCTGTTGTTCATCATCCTCATCCTCAACAGATGGAGACTCCATTAATGACTTCAGCTCTCTGGTCTCCTCATCCGCCTCATACTGACACATAAAAACATGACGATGCTTAATTAGCATTGAGAGTCAAGGAATGAAACAAATATCTCAAGTTCACAGTTGTAATAGTAGAAATGTGATGAGCACATCTGTAACTTTTGCAATATGCAGGATGCTTTCATCTTGCTAACCTGGAATTTTAATTGTGATCCTGGTGTGTCTAATTTGTGACTGAGACACTCGCCCACGATCATACCCATCCGACGAATACGCTCGATACTGCTGTCTAGACGACACTGGACACCTCCCAGCATGCACTGAAACATCTCTGTAGGACAGGAAACCTCATAATACACCAGAAAAATGTATGCAGCTGTACATAAATTAAATAAGGAAAAAAGCTGCACATTTGAATGTATGCGTGTGCATTACCTTGTCGTAGTTCTTGTATTTCAGAATGGCTGAGTAAAGCCACACACAGCAGCAAAGCTTTACTGACGTACAGCTGCTGTTCGACAGACGTGTGTTTGACGGCACTGCTGTTACACCACACCTGACACACACTCCGAAGGACCTACACACATCAGTTAGAACTTCTCTTAAACAACTTCTTTTGCATTACATGCAAAAATGACTTATGAGAACGACTGACACAATAGTTATCATCATACCTGTTTGAGCAGCGTCCGACGCTCTGAATCCAGAG